CCATTTCCATTTCACCCAAAAATAAGAATTCGTCAGAGAATTGCAGTTTCGGACCGATTTACAAAAAACAGAACAGGCGATACGAAACCAACAAAGACGAAACGCTTACTTTCGAATGTCATTATCCGAAACGGATCGTCTAGCGAATTTCATGGCTTCCTCGAAGTGTGCACGAGTAATTTCAGGTACTGGATCGTAAGTTTCATCTTCCATGAGCTCTTCTCCACGTTGTCTGCGTTCTTGCCTTTCCTTCTCCATACGAATTTCCTTTTCGATTGACTCACGAATTGCAAGTTTGCATGCACTGAAACCGAACAAATGATACGTCTGGCAAGGAGAGAGATGTCTTCACAACCGTTTACTAAACACATCACAACCGTTTACTAAACACAAAATTACTATCGTGTGAAATACGCTTTCATGTTCCCTATAGATATGGACCTAGCATTCCATAAGAAACATGCTACATCATGCGATTTAACACCTTATAGTATTGCACAAGTATGACACTCAGCAAGTTATGATTCCTAATCGAGCGTCACCGAGCAACAAAACGTTGATTGGTTAAGCATGACCAGGAACAACACTGCTAAGTTCTTAAATTGTGCTTATACAACATATGGCAGAAACTACTAACTCACCGCTGACAGATCTCAGTAAGATCAGCACCGGAGAATCCCACAGTACTTTTTGATAGGAACGTCATGTCAACATCTTTGGCCACCGGAGTCTTACGGAGTTGGGCCTAAAACACTATATGACATTTCCTGAAACCAAACAAAACCTAAAAAGCAAACCTTGAAAATTTGAAGACGAGAAGCTTCATCCGGAAGTGGGATGTAGATCAACTGATCGAGACGCCCAGGACGTAGAATTGCAGAGTCAATAATATCCGGTCTGAAATCAAAACTTGCGCAGTGGAAGTGATGTTATGCAAAGTAAGCTACCTGTTCGTTGCTCCGATGATGAAAACATTCTTTTTCGAATTCATACCGTCCATTTCAGTAAGGATTTGATTAATGACACGATCAGCAGCTCCGCCAGCATCTCCAGCAGTCCCTGAAACATTAGAGAATCTGATGAGCCATTACATCCTGATATGCAATTTAGTTTACTCGACATAAGTTAGAAGTAATTGGATCGTTTGTTCGTTTTTTGTACCAACAAACGACCTTATTTTTTCTAACGTGGTGAAAATGTGTAGAAATAACGATCTCAAATAATATCAAACTGAAAACCAAGAATATAAGAAAAGAGCGTTGCTCGGAGCACGGCCAAACACACCCCATTAACAACACCTTGATGAAAAAATTACCTCCACGAGCTTTCGCGATCGAATCCAACTCGTCGAAAAATAGCACACATGGAGCAGCAGCTCGAGCTTTGTCGAACACGTCACGAACGTTAGCCTCTGACTCTCCAAACCACATCGTCAAAAGTTCAGGTCCCTCAAATCACTCAAGTTTTATAGCAAATCTTCCAGAAGATGAAACAAGAACATACCTTGATAGAAATGAAGTTGGCTTGGCATTCATGTGCGATAGCCTTGGCAAGCAAGGTCTTACCGCAACCGGGAGGCCCGTAGAAGAGCACACCTCGTGATGGTTGCATACCGAACTTTAGGTACTTTTCAGGATGCTCAACAGGATACTGAACCAGCTCTTGGAGCTCACGCTTGACATTTTGAAGTCCTGAATAAGAGATTTCACAGAATATAAACTCGACCCTGTCCATTCACGCACTGGCACCTAGTTAAGTCGACTATCCATGGACTGAAAACCTGCTGCAATTAGATACGAATGTACAAGTAGATGAGGACGGAGTTTTGACATGTGTGATCACGTTTCAATATCAAATTAATTATAGTATGGTATCAACTCATCACCGAACTTTTTGTACCTCGAGATGATCGAAGAATCTCACTCTTCTAGTGAACGGCACCCTAAAATGTTTCACCTCGAAACATTATTATTTAGTGGTGCTCCATGACCTCGAAGGTGTAAGCATAGTGATTGGCACAAATTGTCGGAATGATAAGCTGCACCCACACGTTCCCAGCAGACTGGAGCTATTCCGCGTCCATTAAACCACTTTCAAACCAAGAAAGAACAGGCCAACGAAGAATGAACAGAAAGCCCTACTTCTTTAAAATTAGACTTTTCACAGCTCACCTCCGATATCTTCCCATGTGGTGTTCGGAGTCTCCACTACCGTTTCACGCAGTGCCGATGGAGATGACTTGCCCATGGCAAACTGCAAGACGTTGATGTGAAATGCCATGAAACCAAAATGAAGTATGAACTCACTCGGAAGTTCTCCATGGACACTGCCAAAGAGTTGAGCACTTCAGCGTCGATTGTATCGTCTTCAAGATCTATTAGATCCATCTTCTCACGAATTTGTTGCAGAGCAGCTTCCGAGCACAGTGATGCAAGATCAGCACCGACGTAACCGTGGCATTCATTTGCGATCTGAAACAATCATACTCTCGGCTAGAGTATCCATAAAATTTATATGGTGCTCCGAAATTACACATCATGCTAAGGTCACTGGAAATTATGAAATACTGGCATTAGGAGGAAGAAGGCATTACGTACCCAAATGAGAATTTTGCATTCAACTCATAAATACCTCTTGAAATTCACTTCGTTCTTTCTATCACATTAGATTGACAACTTAATATGTGAACCTCAAGACAAACAGAGAAATACCTGCTCCAAATCAACGTCATCGGCAAGCTTCATGTTTTTCGTGTGTATACGAAGTACCTCAAGGCGTCCGACCGCATCAGGAATACCGATATCGATTTCTCTAAACAAAGGAACCTTTTTTACAAACAGCGACATGAAACGTAGCCGAGAATTGAAGATCCAAGTCAAACCTGTCGAAACGCCCGAATCGTCTCAAAGCAGCATCAATTGAATTGGGCCTGTTTGTGGCTGCGATAACCACGACATGAGATCTCTGCTTCAAACCGTCCATAAGAGTAAGTAATTGGGAGACTATACGGCGCTCCACCTCTCCATGAGTCTGGAAAGAAATGAGAGATCAGCAAAGGCGTACGGTTGAAGCGAACAGTAAGTTGCACGAACCTTCTCGCGTTTTGGAGCAATGGCATCAATCTCGTCAATAAAGAGAATTGCTGGCGAGTTCTTCTCGCACTCTTCGAAAGCCTTACGCAAATTCGATTCCGATTCTCCAGCAAGTTTCGACATAATTTCTGGCCCTGAACATCCCCATTCGTTCAAGACTTCAAGCTGTGAAGCACTTTATGGTTGCTCACCGTTTAGCAGGAAGAAAAACGCTCCAGTCTCATTGGCGACTGCTCTGGCTATAAGAGTTTTACCCGTTCCCGGAGGACCGAACAGCAAGATTCCGCGAGGCGGCTTGATTCCAATTGCTTTGAATAGTTGAGGGTGACGAAGTGGAAGTTCGACCATTTCTTTTATTTGCGCCAGTTGTTTGCGAACCTATATAAGCAGAACCTTTCACATCCTAAGTTAAGTTTGATGTTTGAAAGGAAAAACTGACAAATCTAAACTCACTCCGCCGATATCGTCATATCCGACGTCATTCATGTTTTCCTCCTCTTCTTCACGTTTGATAGCTTCTCCTTCATAATGTATGACAGTATCAGGAGCGACAATGCATGATGGAGATGGATCAGTCTCGACTACCTATGGAGGTAGAACTAGATTTGGAAACAAAAAACAACAGAGTGACGGAGGCCATACCTTGAATTCGACGGTACGCATGGCAGCTTGGACTGTGAATATATCACCTTTATGAAGAGGTCGGTATGCTTCTACGAAGTACGGCTTCAGGAAGACCTCGAAAAGGTTTCTGAAAGAATTTAGTAACTCGCAGTAAATATGGCCTGCAAGCTGTCCTACCCTGTTAGTCCTTCAACAGTATCGTCGATTGGAAGAACATGAACGCGCCTGCCATACCCTATGTTTGGAGCTGCTGTTACACTGAAAAACACATAACATCACTGTACCAAACCTATTTCGAAACTACGCATTTCGCAATGGTAATCCACCTTACGACATCTCCTAGACGTACACGTAAATTATGACGAACAACGCGATTCATTCGGATTTTATCGTTGGGACAATTATCGTCGGCAAGAACAATAGCTACCGTTTCCTTCCTTTTCTTTCCCTAAAATAGAAAAATTGGCAAAAGGGGTTTCATTCCACTTTGTAGTAGTCTTCAAACATCAAGGAGCCGGCTTCATTTGTTCCATTGGATGCGAATATCCGACTTTTAAAAGACCTTTCCCACCTGGCTATAATAGCAGCCAAGTTGGAAACAATTAGAAGTGGCAGAAATCTTACCTTGAGCACAACTGTATCGCCACGAAACAGTGCGAGCTCGTCCATCTTCGCTTGGCTGAGAGCGATTATGGAGTTGTCATCCTTGTCACTCTGATCAACAATAAGCCGGTTCGGCTTCACTTTATCCTTAAGAATAGCCGTGGCCAAAGCCTCATTTTTCTTCTCCTTTTCGTCCTTGGCACTTAAAAGATGCATGGATTACTTGGCCGGTACACCTTTCAACAGTAAATACAGCTTAGTAAACAAATATAATAAAAACTTACGTCGGTACTGAAGCCATTATGCAAAAAGCGCCTTATCGGAATCTTAGAACCAAGCCTCAACAAAGCTGATCACGCTGACGAATTCTTTTAAATGATGACATTCAACCGTGAATCATACACGCCACGAAAGCGTGTTGCATACTACGGTAATTCGTTCGACTAGAGCAGGAAATTAGCACTGGTATGCCGATTAATTTCACAAATTGGAAGCGGTCTCGTTTTCTTTCAACCATCTAATGTTCTGCACTGTTCTGGGGCTTGAATGGATAGTATTTTGTTCGTGTGCTTTTTTTTCTTTCTTTATAGTCGCACTCAAGCTCAAAAAGCTAATTGAAAGCTTGCCTTGCTAAAGGTGTATTGCTAAACACCTGTATTTGCACGGCTGACATCTAAAAATACGTGAACTCGTTTTCTTAGCTTCAAGTCCAGCTTCGCATGCTACTCATGAAGCCTCACGATGAATTTGGGGTGCTAAGGGAGTTGGGTTTGGTTCGTGTTCAGAAGTGCATCCTTTACATAGTCCACGAGTGGTGGATCGTTTTGCAGTAGTAATTCTTAGAGGTCATTGACGGACAACAGTATCATCAAGGACAACAACAGTAGGAGTGTAAAATAGAAATTGTTAACTAACTGGCTTCAAGTCTATGGTATTCAACGGATAGCAAATAAAAGAGCCCGGAACTGGTTTCTCGAAGTGGGGGTTCATTGATATTTGAAGAATTTGTAGATGGCTGCCCGAAACAAAAACAGCAAGTGTAGTCCTGATAGTCCGAAAGAAAAGCAAAGATGAAGTAGTCCACCTCTACTACGGTGTAACCTTGGATTCTTCTAAATCTATTGACAGTTCTCTTATTGTTTATGAAGAATCCTGGCGGAGAGAAAAGTTTAGTAGCCTCTTCATTATCATGTTTTGCTTGAATTATTAATCTTGTATGAGCAGAATGCGTGATTGATCCGCTTGCGGAAGTTCTAACTTATTCAGGCATTCTGCTCACCTCAACCTCCTTATTGCGTGTCTCGATTGTTCTGGAAGACTCTCAAGCTCTGTGTACAACCGTCCGCTTGCGTCGGTACAAAGCGCGGCCTTTGGCAGGGTGCCAAAAAGCGTCGCAAGTCAGTAATTGCTCCGTTGCTTTCTGGCAGGTCGTGTGGGCCAGTCTGATGCTCCTCTTTACTTTCCGGTAACTTCTGAAAGAATGGGACGTACTCTTAGAATAGGGCCTACCTTGAGAGGGTTATGATGCTTGTTTGAGCTCTTGTGCACTTTTTCTTTTGTTTCGGCTTCGTGAAGGTGCATCAGTTACGTTCAACGTAGTGTTTTTGTCTTTTCTTGAGTTTCTGTTGCTTTTTTGTCGTCCCAAGAAGCAGCATTTAACTTCTATTGAGTTTTTCAGTCTTTCCAAAACCCGATTAATGAAGCCTGAAGATATCACAATTACAAGTACTCCCATATTGTGAGGAATCTACCGGAGTTCCTGCGTCATTTCGAACTACGTTTGAGCATCTTTCTTATGCCCATCTTGTCCAACTTCTATTCACCCCTGTATACTCCTTTACTAAAAGGCCTCTCTGTAAAATAACAAAGGTAAGGATACTGTATGAACGGATAATAGTGAACGAATAGGTTTTTTCTGGCAGCTTCTCGTACTCCTATCATATTGTTAGTAGTGTAGTAGGATGACCCAATTATTGCCACGCGTAAATAGTCTGGGGCCATCGATGCGTTTCTAGAATGTTCGGGGGCAAGGGGCGTTATATGTACGTACGTACGAGCGCCTCATAGTGCGACGACACAGTCAGCTACAATCCCATTTGCTCTCAATCTGGTGAGTTATCATTTTCTCATTTCAGTTCTATTTTTTATATATAGTTCAGAGAAAAAAATTGCCAATAATCTGTGCTCGTTTAACCATAAGTTCCCCATAATAATTGGCCCATTATAAAGTATTCATATAAAGTTCTTAGCTTTACTTTTATATCTTTCTTTGATCTCAGAATATCCGCCGTAGTGTCCTAATATTGTATGTGATTTGCTGAGTTGGTGTGAATGATTTACTAAGTTCATCTACAGGTTAGTGATTGTGGTGGGGTGGTGCGGTATGACATACTATGAATATCTCACCATGATAAAAGTGTGACATCATTTTGTCGTGGTAACCAGAATGACATTACGGTATCACCATCGTTATTATATCGATTAACGTTTCATTTACGATAACAGTATGCACCTCCACAAGGAGTTCCTGTAGCCTTGCAAGGTGTGACGAAGTTGGCCATGAATCTACCGAAGAGCAGAATTCTAGTAAAGGGGGCGATTAAGGAAAGCGAGAAACCATCTGTTAATAAGAATATGTTGAAGTATCGATCCAGCCTAAAGCGCGATGATGATTTCCTTCTTCCAATGCTGCTTCGTATACGAAATACCTATTCGTACACTTGGGTCCATTCAGAAGGGTATTAGGATAATTCCCAAAGAGAAAATTTGGAGTAAGCATCAGAGCGACTGCACCGAAGGAGCTAGCAGAATAGCATGTCTGTTACTTAACAACATTTAGGAGGGGAACCTAGCCTACTTCTTATAGTAAACCTGCGGTGCAACGAAATGCAATAGGCGCCTAACTTTACGAGCGTTCCACCCAGTGCCCAGCCATCCGATCCGTGGATTCCGTCAAGAACTTTCCTTTTTGTGATATCCATATCTCGGTGAAGTTTTCGTGCTCTCTACTTCTGTACGACTAGATGTCAGAAATAGTAGCGGTCCACCTAAGCATGATTTGTAGGGAAACCCGAAGAAGAAAAAGCTGGTGGGGTCCCAGGCTGATCAGTTTCCTAATCTAGGGATTTAACAATTTTTCATATTTGTCATTTGGACGGCTGAGTACAAGCATTCAGTTCAAGTCAGGTTGCAAAGATCGGGACTTGTTATCGTCATTAGTGATTTTTATAGCGCAGTTTTGCGATAGTTCAACCACCGCAAATCCAAATCCCGGACAGATTCAGTTGTTTATGATGCTATCTTTGTAGCCGTGACCTTGACGTGGCCCCCTTTTAAATGGGGTACTTTCTGGTCACGTTGCCAGGATAATGGCTATGTCACACGTTTTCGGTTTCTTGTTATGTAATGTTGGCCGTATCACATACCCAAGATCCTGAGATCACACACATCCCGCTTACACGCTATCACCACCTCTGGGTTAGGCCGATAGAGTAATTGCTGCGCCATGTCCACGTAAGCACATCTAATTACTTGACAGTACTTCAAGCTCAGTCTACCTCTCGGTTTTTTCCTTGTGTAAGCTGTTAGGTTATTTCTTTTTTGAAATGTAAAACTCTCGGAACTGTTGATGAATTGATATCAAACAGGTAGGCTTTCTTGCTCTCATTCACCTGAATTATTTGGACACCGGTACCGTACAGTGCCATCCGAACAAGCTAGTTTGGAGTATGCACTTACCAGTTCGTGAATTTCAATTTGAAGAAACTGCCTGCGCCGAAGTCTTAGATGTAAGCAATAGTGCATTCCGCTTATCAACCATTACGTTTTCTGTTTCTCTTGTATGCTTACGAGTGTTACAATGCTTCGTAGAATGTTTACGCTTTCTACGAAGTTTTTTTTTCTGACTACAACCATGTCATACCATCGTATACGTCAGCGCTGTTGGTAGTAACAGGTTTACCATTGTAGGAATTCTAGTGGCTCATTCTGACACCAAGTCGGTTCGATCTCTCGGTGGAACATGCGTTTTATCCTTCTACAAATCTGGAGAGGCATGGAACCTGATGAAGGACTTGAGCCAAATACCACTGGGAGAATGATTATCTTCAAGTCTCAGCCCGAGACGGCATTCCTTTGTTCTTCTGTTCTCGCTTCGGCACCTTTATTACGGGTACTGACCCACATATCCGACTCCATGGCATCATATCGCTTATGTTCCATATCTCAGCAGTAAAAATACGCTTTAAGGCATCACCTGTCACCTGGTAAGGAAAAAGAAAGAGTCTTAATCAGCCTCAACTTTTTAACAGGAAAACACCGTATTACCAGTCGAGGCAATTGTTCCGGCGCATTTTCCGCTTGCATGCGATAATATCTATTTCTTTGTAGGAAAATCACGTCTATTCGGTGGCAATCACATTCTTTTCCTAGGAGAATTATTCACCTGCTTACGAATTACGTCTATTGGAACTAAACGAATGCATAAAGTGATCGATTACGCCCAACTGTCATATCTTTCGGATGGAAAGATCTAGATCGTGTATATCAGCCTATCTTTTGAACATCTCTTGTGCATAAACTATTTGGCTATCATGTTATTACTTATCGACTGCTTGCCCTTGCATAGTCGTTTCTCACTGGGAATGCCGCTTCCAACGATCGTGGTGTTGCGGAGGTAAGTTCATCCCTTTATCTGCTCACTGACAGCTACTGCGTAACTTACTACTGCTTGAATTTGCCCCTTTCTTCCTCGGTAAATAATACTTTTCATTTTTGTTCTGAGTTATTTGTCTGACCTCCATCACAAACTAAAGTAAATATAGGAACCACATTGAAAACAATAGCAAAACGAGGCACGTTATATTCCCAGCGCCTGTCTATCCGTTACCTTTTTTCAAAAAACTTCGGAGAATAGCCTGGTTGTACGAGTGCTCCGCGTGCTTATTGTAGTCACATGGCATAGCGAGCGACCTCGTGATGGGCGTGTGGTATCATCGCTTCTGTCGTGGGGCCATTACCATACATCATGCTTCGAAGAACGGTCGCCTTCTTCGTTTTCACAAATCCAGTTGCAACAATTTATAAGAAAACCATTTCATTTCATTAAGCGAAATGGGAAGGCGAGTGGGTGATGTACATATTTGGTTTAGGATTCATGCAGAGAAACATTTACAGTGTTCAATCACCTACAGTATTCGATCCCAAGATCTGCTCTC